GGCTTGTTTGTGAAAAACGTAATTTTTGTATCGATCAGTTATCACCAGGAAATCTTCGAAGGAACGTGCGTTTTGAAACGAGTGTGTTGTGAGATATTAGTGACCGAGTTATTAATTAGGTAAGGGACGTTCGTCATAATACGGTAAACGATAAACATAAAAGAATTCCGAACTAATGTTTATTCGGTGAGACGTTATCTATATACATTCCGGTGTTTAGTTAAATGAATTAGATTTCAATTTCTCGTTGGAGAAGAAAGAACTTTGCTTTGTTTATTGTCGAAACGCGTAGAAATTCAGGCTGTTGCTCAATTCTCTGAGCAACGTTTCAATTTCACTAACGTAATTTTCCTTCGAAAGTCAATATAACGTCGATTATATGCTATCGGCATTTCATCATTTCGACCGATTGTTATCATTCATTTGAATGTATGAGTTTCTACTCTCAGTCCACGCTACAAACATACTTTATATTTATATTACGACTATCACGCGTCGGAAATGAAACAGATCGAAAATAGAAAAGTATCCATTTATATTATTTTCACGTTAAAAACTCTCGGTTTTACCAACTAATTTGCAATAATTTTCACTTGTTTGGAAAGTGGAAAAATAATTTACTAATACAGTTATATTTTTCAATGTAGATGCTGTGAAGTTGCTACAGAATGGATTTATTCCCCGAATTTTTCAAGGATAATAATCGAGTTGGTGCAAATACTAACGAGTTCGAGAATACGAGTTCTGGCGTGTATACTGACTCAATTCTAGATCTGTCTTTTAAAAAAACAATGATCTCGAATGAAACATCAGATTCACATAGTTCACTCGCGACAATAAAAACAAACAGTTGCGACAGCCAATTGTCAGAATTCGAAAATAAAAGTGCCGACGAGGTTCGAAACTTCATGGTAACACCACCTTCTGAATCGGACTCTCCAAAGAAGATTAAATCCGAGTTAATTCATAGTCATCCGAACACGTCAGCAAATATCACAGGACAAAACGAAGATTTACCTGAAGTCTTGCCACTGAATATTTCTATTCCAGTTCCTATTCCCAGCATACTGCCAACACTGTTGAATGCAAATGATGTCACAATGGCCAACAGTCCTATCTTATCGATGAAAAATTGTAATGAAATCGCATTACCTAATTTATCTGGAGATGCCAATAAAAAGCCATCGAGGCCTTTTAAAGCTTATCCAAAGGATCCGCTATCACTCACTGTCGGAACAGCTGAATTGATGTATGATCAAAATTCCAAAGAAGCCTATTCGCAATTTCGGATGCGAATGCTGGAATCGGTGAAAAAATCGTACGAAGGGACGAATACGAAAATGCGGAGAACCACAAAAAGTCCTGTACTGCCAACGAGTACTGTTGATGAAAAGAATGCAGCGTACTTGGAAAAAAGGAGGAAAAATAACGAAGCCGCGAAACGCTCGAGGGATGCGCGAAGAGCCAAAGAAGACGAAATTGCTATCAGAGCAGCTTTTCTGGAACAGGAAAATATAAGATTAAAGTACGAAGTTCTGGCACTTCGAAAGGAAATAGCGAGACTTAGATGTATGATTTGCACACACCATTACACCAGAGAATGAGTTTGCATACCATGTATAAATTGAAAAAGAAAACTTATTTTGCAATTTGTAAAATGACGATAAGATTTAATTTAAGATATTACGATAAGATATAACATTTTATTATTATTAAGGTTTAATTTAAGATATTAATTTTAAATTATTTGTAAAAAGTATAATTTCTATGTATTGTTTCCAGCTAAACGATATATATAATATAATATATATTATATATTATATAAAACCCTAGGTGTTTAGATTAATTGATTTTGAAATGCACTACAACAGTAATCATCGATATGTCTGTGGAGAATGTAAAAAGTCTCTACCAAATCCTAGGTTTTTAGATATTCATATTCAAGAAACTCATGACAGCTTTTTCCAAATTTTATCTATGAAACAACCAATGGTATGTATTATCATTTTGTTATTACATAACGCGTTCATCAAAATGTTTATTAATATTCAATATATAATAATTAAATTTAATTATTTTTTCTAGTATCAATGTTACATGTCGGAATGTGATTTGAAATTCATTAATTCAACTGAGAGGAAGGATCATTGCATTAATGTACATAAATTTCCTAAGAATTTTAGATTTGACAATACCGTACAGTACATAAAACATAAGTCAAAAGATAAAATGGATATTGATGAACCAGAACCAAAGAAAAAGGAATCCAAGAGAATACAATTGAATAAAAATCAAAAATGTAAAATGTTTACTGCTGTGGCAAAGACTGCAACATTACCAAATGCTACGATTCATGAAGATACATTAAATCCTAGGACAGGAACAACTTCGTTACATTTTATTCCTAGACAAATACAAAACTCGTATACAAAAGCACTTACTAAAAATCAATTCAATGAGAAAAATGTATTGGAAACAGGATGTATGATGGATTTGTCTGATACATTATCAGAATGTATGTCTGACAATAAAAGCATTTCATGATAAATATATTTTCATCTTTGTTATAAATATATTTAATAATCCTTCTATGTACAAATCTACAATTTTCTATTTAATTTCTATCGTATTTTCATTCATTTATATACTGATTTACTGTATCATGTATTACAAAATTATATAATCTATTTGGTACTGTATTTGTTCCATTATCATAATAAGAATATTGTAAATCATTATATCAAATAACATAGAAATTAATGGTAGTTTTTATTGAAAATTCAGTTTTTGCGTTCTTATGCATGTAACAATATGTGAATTTGTCATATCAGTTTATTTAACTTTCTCATATATATATATATA